GGGGGGGGGGGGGGGGGGGGGGGGGAAAACTATATGGAGAAGGCCGTGGCAGAAGGGGGGAGTTTTTTTTTGTAGTTAATAATGGGGAAAATTATTCATAAAGAGCAGGTGGGGGAGTTTTAGGTGCAACATTAGGAAGGCCATATTAATCTGAATAAAGCGTACAAAATGGTAAGAGTTTGATACAGGCATAAGGCTTGATTATAAAAACAGAACAACTTTGGGGTAGTAGAGGAGTACAGAGTTAGTGAGCCTCAATTTCAGAGCCAAACTGCTCCAAACGAGCAGCATCGGCTTCAAGATCCCTCACCAAACCATCCTCCTCGCTTGCATGAATTTGTCTTCCACCAAACCTGTGCAAATCATTAACACTAAGCTACCTTCACAAAATAAAATAATATATAATAATGAGAGACTCCCTAGAAGGAAGAAGGACTAATAGTCCAGAAACAAACATCTTTAATTTCCCCTTATTTTGGGGACCTATTTTTTCTTTTGAATGTTTACACCTTTTTAGGGTATGGGTATTCCTATTGTCTAGGGTTAACTTGTATACACCTAAAGCAAGCATCATACTTGGTAAATTTTACATTAATTCAATGAAAAGTTTGTTTCAATTAAGAATATATGTAACATTCCAAGGACACCTATCACTTCCAAACGTGTCTCCCAATAACATCTTTTCCATAAACACTTTATGCCACAAAACCTCCTGTGCATTACAATTTACCAAACAAAGAGTGCACCAAGATTATTATGCTGCGATCATACATGAATCCATGACAAGATTCGGACGCGAGGGGAAGCTTAGCCCCCGATTCATTGGACCGTTCGAAATTTTAGAAAGAGTAGGTCCGGTAGCTTACAAACTAGCTTTACCACCTTCACTTTCAAGCGTACACGATGTATTTCATGTGTCCATGTTAAGGAAATACATTCCAGATTCGATGCATGTAATAGACTACAAACCTCTTGAAATTGAGGAAAATTTAAGTTACTAGTAGAAACCGATTAAAATTCTAGCCCGAGAGGTGAAAGCCTTACGTAATAGGAGTATAGGTTTTGTTAAGGTATTGTGGTGTAACCACCAAGTCGAGGAAGCTACGTGGAAACGAGAGGAGGAAATAAAGGAAAAATATCCCAAGTTGATCCACGAGTTCAAGACTTTCGAGGATGAAAGTCCCTTTTAGGGGTAGGTAATGTAACGGAACCGAAAAAAAAAATGATGGTCGTCGGCAGAGCCGAAAACTCCGGCGAACGCTGGAGTTTTCGCTTGCACACGACCCACAAAGGGCGGCCGAGGGCTGGGATGCCATCAGCCACCCTGAAAGAACCTGCAAGGAAACGAAAACGGTGAGAAAAAAGGAGAGAGAACAGAAAACCGATGGAACTTCGGCGAAGCCGAACCGTATGAATCGACGTCGAAAACTCCCATTTCACACCACAAAAGTAATCCCAGAACCCTCTACACACATCAGGAGTAGGTTTTAGATGAATCCTGTACGCTGAACACCATCGGCAAGGAAGATGGAATGGTGGACTTCCGAGCTTCTCCAGATCCGGGAGTGCGAGGCCCTTACCAACAAAATCTGTACAAAAAACGGGGTTAGGGTGAAGGATAAGCTCGGGAACGGGGGAAAAAAGGGGAAAAAGGACGTCGGGACGACGTTGCGAGGAGAGAGAGAGAGATCGCCGGAAAATCGCGCAGGCTGTGGGGCGAAGAGGACGAAGTCCGACCCGACATCCAGATCCGGAAACCCGAACCGAACCCCGTCCCTTCGGTCAGCCCAGAACCCACATTACCCGCAGCCCAAACACCTGGCCTTCACCTGCAAGCCGGCCCATCACCGCGCGGCCCGTCATCCGCGTTCGGCCCGAGACCCGCGAGCAACCCGTGAACCCGCGCCTCGACCCGAGACGCCTGCACACGGATTGCTCTCTGATTATGCCACGTGTCACGTCTGCAGCGCGGCTCCTCTCGGCTCAGGCGGCTTCATCGGCTCGGCGGCGGCTCCTCGGCTCCAGCGGCTTATTCGGCTCGGAAAATCTGTTTCCAGCCCGTTTGACACCGTTCCGACCCTCCCGGACCTGGTTTCGACCCTGTTTAAGGTAAAAGGGAACATTTTAATGTCGTATTTCACAAATTCCAGTTGGGAATCTATTATTCTTTGTGGAATACTAATGGAAGTGACTCATGAACCAATAGGAACCAACCACCAACGGAAGCGTAGAACGTCCACGAGGAGCTAGGAGCTTACGTTATATTCTAAGGAGTACTTCGGCTAAGGCCTACCAAGTAAGTGGCTCACCCGTTGTAGGTTACGCATTAATTGCTGTATGTTGGCATGTGCCCGTGATGTATGCACGTGCCATTAAATTGTATGCTAGCTTAATGTGCTTAAGTACGAAATCATGTGAATGTGAATGTATGTTATTTATGCTGCTTAGTGGATGTGATATGAATGCATGTGACGATGTGTGACCCTTGTACGATTATGGCTTGTTGTATGAGTATGGGAATGTGATTGAATGAATTGCATGACATGAAATACGGTAAATTGCATGATACATAACCCCGCTAGGAACATGTATGATATGTAACAAAATGAGAATGAGAATGACATGTAAGCATGAAAACGTGACACGGGGTTATGCTCATTAAATGATGACTGTAGGACTAGTGGGACTTCATGCATATTGTGTGTTCATGCATTTGGGGGGATACCCCTATCCCATCACGAGGGTACGGACGCGTACATCCAAATGGCAGGACAACGATCGTTATGCCCTGCATAGCGCTACCGTGATGGTTTTAGTTTTAACGGGTCCCAGTTGGCCCCCAGAGCATGCCCACCGGCTAGAGACAGTGGCCCAGCGATGTGCGAACTAGCTGGTGAGCCCATACTCGCACGTATGGGCTGCGTGTAAGAGTATATGGTATACGTCCACGATTACTTGTTAGGATTACACCGTAGGGAAAACGAAATGAAACGAAACGGAACGATAAGTCCCATCATTTCATTGCATGTGTTTGTTGCATAACCCCGATAGGGGGTCACTTACTGAGTATTCTAGAAATACTCAAGCCTCGTGCTACTTTACTTTTGCAGATAAAGGCAAGGCACCCATGTGACAACGACGATGGCATCGGACACCTCAGGATCGTGGCACATGCATAGGGTAGTTGGTTGTCTTTTTTTTCCATTTCTAGTATAGGTTAGAATAGGATGAAATGTATTTGTATAATAAACCTTGGGGTAGAATAAACTATTCATTCTTGGTTTTGTTGTTTTTCCTTTCTTTCAATAATGTTTCCCTTTTTCCCTTGTAATTTTTTTTTTTTTTTTTTGAGGTAATAAAAAGGCGGGTGCGAACAACATTTATGAATAGGGTCCATTAAATGTATATTCCGCATTTCAAAGTATAGTAATGACCTTAGATTAAATAGGTAAAATATTAGGGTCGTTACACTACCCCTCGAGGCCCAGCATCCTTGCTAACACACCGCCTCGTATCCACCCCACTTTGGGGTTCATCCGACCATTCTGTTAGTGGATCTCACAATCCACCCCCTCGGGACCCAGCGTCCTTACTGGCACACCTCCTCGTATCCACCCCCTTCGGGGCCCACCACTAGCAGATATCATCCTCTTTGGGTTTCCCCTCAAGGTTTTTATACAAGAGAGGTTTCCACACGCTTATAAAAAATGTTTTTTTTTCTCCTCACCAACTAATATAGGATCTCACAATCCACCCCTCTCGAGACCCAGCCTTGTTGGCACACTGCCTCGTGTCCACCCCCCTTCAGGGCTCAACCTCTTCGCAGGCACATCGCCTAGTGTCTGGCTCTAATACCATTTGTAACAGCCCAAACCCACCGCTAACATATATTATCCTCTTTGAGCTTTTCCTTTCAAGCTTCCCTTTGAGGTTTCTAAAACGCGTCTACTAGGAAGAGGTTTTCACACCCTTATAAAGAATAATTCGTTCTTCTCCCCAACCGACGTAGAATCTCACTATGTCCTTGTCTCCCCTTAAATTTCAGGACATAAAACTCATCCTTAAGAGATTTGGCAGCAACATCATTTTCTCCAATGGACTCAGAGACCCTTATAGCAGCGGCGGGTAAACAAAAACCAAAGCTCCATCATTTTTTACACATAAAGAACAATCATTTTTACTTCAACTCTCTCTCTTTTTGTGAATGCAAAGTGTTGCATAACTTATCTGACAGTCTCCTTGCAATCCATACGCTTAATGGTTTGATTCAGACTCATAAATTCTAATTTCAAAGCTTTGTTCTTTTGAGCTGACATGTTTTGAACTTTCCAGGATCTCATTGTTTGGACATTTTACGAGCAAATGAAATGGATCCACAGTGGTTGGTGGAACAAAGAGAGACAAAGGTTAACATTATTAAAGGATGGATCCGTAAGTACTATACTGATCTTGGCCGTCCAAACAATATATAAACAACACATAATGATGATGAAACACTATAAATAGGATATGAAAATCATCCTCACATGTATGCCACTGTAGATGAATTTATGAACTTGTATTGATGTTAGTGCTGAAAACATCCATTTAATAGCTAAAGCATACTGCTAACAAATATTGTCATCTTTGACTCGTTACGTATCGTCGTTAGCTTCACGATTTTTAATCACGTATGCTAGGAAGAAGTTTCCACACTCTTATAAGATATGCTTTGTTTCCCTTTTCAATTAATGTGGGATTTCACAATCCACCCCCTTGGGAGTCTAGCATTCTTGTAGTCACACCATCCAATGTCTGGCTCTGATACCATTTGTAACAACTCAAGCCTACTGTTAGAAGATATTATCCGCTTTGGCCCATTACGTTTCATCATCAACCTCACTGTTTTAAAATGCGTCTACTAGGGAGAGGTTTCCACACCCTTATAAAGAATGTTTCATTTCCCTCTCCAATCAATATGAGATTTCATAATCCATCACTTGCACTTAAAATATATGAACTTGAATGTTCTTATAGATACAAATTTGAAAGTTCATGAATAGTTGAATCGTTCAATAATGGCCCCTAAAAAGAAAGGTGGATATTTTGGTGCTTTTCTCATATTCTTGGAAGTTGTATGAAAAGAAAAAGAGGCTGAAGGAAGGGGTTTAGAACTTTATGACACCCTCATAAAGAGGTTTCAACAACATGCACTGAAACCGTTATTGAAGTGCTCCACTCTAGAGCAGATGCTTAAGTTTTTTTGATGGATTTCTTAGCCTGTTCTCATTCAACCCTACTTCTCATTATCACTACAAGTGGCTTACACAATAGCCATCCTACAAGGATCCACAAACCATTATGACAAAAAAATATGGCCAGTCCCGACCTCTCTCTACCAATAAAAATAACTTTTTGAAAAAATGGTAGTGTGCTAAGTTCGGTCAAGTCAACACGAATAAGAATCCAGGGGTTTTTAAATTTTCATCCATGTGCCAACATTTTCAAGTGTTTATAAGTCCAATAAGGTGATAAATGAGATATTAGTATTTTTGTTATATCTTAGAAAAAAGGGTTTAAAATATCAACAAAATAGATTTAATATTAATAATAAATGTAATTGGTAAGTTTTTGAATTCTCACTTCCATGTTTAATAGATTCACAACTTCAAAAAATATCAAATAAATTAGCATATTACCTCGCTCTAGTTTTCTAGGGTATTTCTCTCAAACATGACCTAAGGTTCGAGCATACGTCGATATCATCCACGAAATCTGAAATTCACATCACTGATTTGTTCACTGGGTTAGAACAAGTGTTACACAGTCGCTATCCCGTTACTGCAAAAGTGTGATTGTGACAATGGACAAGTCCATTACCAGCTTCTACATGTTCAAGGTCTGGCTCCAATTCCGCTTCTACAAGGTCGAAATCCGAGGCCAGCTCCATGACAGGTTTCAAGGGTCAAGAATACGATTAGGTTATGGACTTGCAGTCATCATCAACTTCGGCTTCCCCACAAGATTATCTTTAGGGAAGCGTCGTATTCGTATGGCCTAAAATTTTCCCGGCTGCTCTGTCTTTCCCGCACTCGACCAAATGCTCATTTCATTTATTAAGCCGGGTATCCTCCATCCCCTTTTGGGCCACCCAATTATTTTATATTGGAAAAGTTTTAATATCTAAAAAAAAGTTCATTTTTAAATAGAAAACCCGGTAGTGGCCAACATTACAATAAACAAAATGTCAAGAATCTAGCTCCAAAAATATATTTTATATCTGTTTAAGGTTTCATAAAGAAATTCTGATTCAGAAAGTTGTGCTACAAGAGACCTGGAATTATTGGTAGTTTGTAAAGATATGCAAACCATACTCGAACGCGTACTCTGTCAAAACAATCCACCGTTCGAAGTTGCTTGAGATGGGCCTACGAATGCTGGTCGACCCTCACCAAAGCAAAAGATGATTGCTTCGGATAGCATGTAGTACAACACTGAATCCATGTGGTTCATGAATATGTTTCCAACTCCGATGGAAACCTAAGCTACAAACCACGATTATACTGCACAAAACATAGCTTGAAATCGCGTACGTTGCCATTCTAGTCATGTCTGTTTCGATGACGTCGATTTCGAAGTTCCATCAATAGGTATGTTTCCCATTCCAATCTCCATAGTTTCTCTCTCGTCCTTCTTGCTTCTTTTAATTAAAGCGTCCTGATCTTTGGGCTGATTTTGATGGGTTGATATAGAAGATTCAAGAATTCTTGGGACAGAATTCAACCACGGATGGCTGAGACATTGTGCTGCTCTTGGTCTCTTTTCAGGTGCAAAATCCAATAAAGGAACAAGAAAGTCAGCCAAGTCATTAGCATCTTGCTCGTTGAAATCTTACTTCTCCTCAACTCACCATATCTGTTGAAGTATGTTAAAATAAAACTCACTAATTTATGAAATAAATCTCACACACAGTAACGATAGAACGCTCCGATACCGCTTTAAGAAAATACTACTTGCGTACTTGTAAAGGAGATATTAGAGAGGGGAGAGATACCGCTTTAAGAAAATACTACTTGCGTACTTGTAAAGGAGATATCAGAGAGGGGAGAGATAAAGGAGACAAAAAATGCTGAAAAAATCTTTTTCTATTACACAATACTTCTTGTTTTTTTTTCTCTTGATCTCTGTTCTTTTGCTCTGACTTAAAAGGGATGTATTTATACCTTTTCTATTTCTAATAATAGGGGGAGAGAACTCTTTGGTCTTTTTCTTTCAACCAAATTTTTTCAAATTTAACTTTCCTAACCTAACAAATTTACTAAGTTTATTTTGAACCAAATCTAACTTTTAACATTTAAATTTAATCCAACAAAACTCCCCCATAAACTTAAATGCTATATTCAACGACTCCATCTACGTTGTTTTCGTTTTCTCGAGCTCAGTTGTGAGTTCTTCAATTTCTTCTCCTTGTCCTCGAGCAATAGACTAAGCTTGTTCTTTTCTGACAAGACTTCATTTGGAGCTTCTCCGAGAACAACCCATTTGAGGCATCAACTCCTCATTTCTCCCGTTCTCAGCCACGCTAGACTCAGATGTCATAATTGATGGTGTTAATATAACACATGTATTAGCAATTTGGATCTTAGGCACTCCAAGTACATCAATTATAATAAATTAGCTAGCATGTTCAAAAGTATTAAAACTCAATGAGTTTGAATACTAACCTTTTGTAGAAATTCATTTTTCCTCACGAACCGGTTTCGAACCACCACTAGTGTCTTCCCTACTATTCTCTGGCCTTAGAACGGGATTGTGGAATCCAGTGAGTGACTAAATTTGAAAGGAATTTAGTATATGTGAAGAGAGTTTTGAGAGAATTTCTCAAAGTTTTTCAAGAATACTTTCCATGTACTTGATCACTCTATTTATAGAGCAATATTTGCATGTTCATGCAAATTTGAGATTAGACCCTCAAAATTCCATTCAAATTTGTGGGATTATGTGGTAAGCATGAAAGTTTGAATTAACCAAATTTTGACACTCAAAATTCCACTCAAATTTGTGAGGTTTATTGGGCAAACTTGCAAGTTTGGTTAAACTAAATTTTGATACTCAAAATTTCACTCAAATTTGGAGATTATTGACAAACATGCAAGTTACAATCTGTTACGATCGTAAGAGCCCCAGCAGGATGATCTACTTCCTCTTAGGTGGCGCGATCTGCTGGCAATAAAAAAAACAAAAGGTAGTTGCTTTGTCTTCCTGCGAAGCAGAATACATCGCCGCTTCGACTGCGGCAACACAGGGGGTCTGGCTTGCGCGACTGATGGAAGAACTCATCGGAAGAGAAAGCAATCCACCAGTACTATACGTGGACAACAAAGCTACGATCTATTACACTAACAAATTGGTATCAGAGCCGTCTTCTTAAGGGATCAAATTGGTATCAGAGTCGTCTTCTTAAGGGATCTATGATATCAAAATGGGAGGACAATCCAGTTTTTCAGCTGTTGCACCACAAGTCTTCAATGGAGACAATTATCAAATGTGGGCAGTTCGTATGGAGACTTATCTAAAGGCTTTGGATCTTTGGGAAGCAATAGAAGAGGATTACAAGGTCCCTCCACTTCCAGTAAATCCTACTGTAGCACAAATCAAAGCACGGAAGGAAAAGAAGACAAGAAAATCAAAGGCAAAAGCTTGCCTATTTGCAGTTGTATCTCAAATGATCTTCATGCGAATAATGTCCCTCAAAACAGCAAAGAAAATCTGGGATTACCTCAAGGCTGAATATGAAGGAAATGAGAGGATTCGTGGAATAAAAGTCCTGAATTTGATCAGGGATTTCGAGTTGTAGAAGATGAAGGAGTCTGAGTCGGTGAAAGAGTACTCTGACAAACTTCTCAACATTGTCAACAAGGTGAGATTGCTTGGTTCTGTGTTAAATAATTCCAAGATCGTTGAAAAGCTGCTGGTCACTATTCCAGAGAAGTTTGAAGCCACCATTACTACTCTGGAGAACACCAAAGACCTGTATAAGATTTCTCTTATAGAGCTCTTGAATAAGCACAAGAGTAAAGGAGGTCTATGAGGGAAGAAGGGGTGATTGAAGGTGCCTTACCTGTTAAGCATCAAGACAACAACAGGTATAAAAACAAGAAAATTTTCAAAAAACCAATCGACGAATGGAGATTTATTTGCCAATTATCAGAAGACAAAAGAAGGAGGTTCCAAAGAATCCTATCCACCTTGCCGCCATTGTGAGAAGAAAGGTCATCCACCGGACAAGTGTTGGAGAAGACCTGACGCCTTCTGCTCCAAATGCAGTCAACTTGGACATGAAACTTTGATTTACAAAGTCAGAGGTTAGGTGAAAGAAGTAGATGCACAAGAAAAAAAATTTGTTGTCTTTATTGAGAAATGTTCTCAAGACTTATTGTCAATGTGAATCGAATTATTCGAAGAGTACATGATTGGTGAATCAAAGGTGATGAGAAAGCTTTGTTCATATCTTCTAGTTGACATATTGGATGTCATGACTAAAAGATAAGAAAATGACAAAAACATATGAGATGTTTAAGTCAATAAGCTAAATTTAGAGAATTATCTAAATGATCTCGAAATTAAGTATTACAAAATTCAAGAAAAATCTTATGACTAAAGTTATGATAGGAAATAGTTCCTAATTAGCCATAACATTTATAGTGGGAGAAATTTTCGAAATTACTCTGCAGAAAGAAAATCTAAATGAAAGTAAATTTAATTTACTAGATTTTTGGTGGAGACTAGGTGACACCACCTGAATAGTTGATATAAGATCTACCGTCAAAATTTGCTCTTCGTTGCATTTATATGTAATTCTTGAAAAATACTTGATGAGGTAGAAAAGATTCTACTAGTTGACACTAGGAAATCAACCTCAAATGTTGAACATGGTGTTTTTAGTAACCATGAGAGAAATTCAATTTCTCGTAGTTCATATAGTATGAATTACTTTGAACTATT